CTGAAAAATGATGATAAACAAACTTTGTTGATGTTTCACAAATCAGACAAAGGTTTCCCAAAGCTCAAACTCAGTTTTTATTATTCTTCTATTAGTGTAGAATAATCTAGTCCAGGTTTGAAGAGTCTAGGTGTTGTGGTTTTTGAGCTGGACCAGGTCTAGTGTGGTCCAGATGCACAAAAATGATAAAAAACTAAATTTTATGAAGTTTCACAAATCAGAAAAAGCTTTCACAAATCCCAAACTAAGTTTTAATTATTCTGCTATTGGTGAAGAACAATCTAGTCCAGGTTTGAAGAGTCTAGGTATTTTAGTTTTTAAACTAGAGCAGATTAAATATGCTGAAGGTAGTGAAAAATTAGTTGTAATATCCCTTTAGTCATTTCCCGAACCGGAAGCTGTAATCGGAAGCTAACTTCACTTCGTATTAACTTACAGGATAAATGGAGTTTAACTTACTTTCTGCCTCTCTGTAAGACATCTCTTAATGTTGTGTGTCTGTGGAGGGATACAATCACACACGCTGCCTTCTAGAAGCGAGTTTTAGGTTGAATATTTGCGCTCCAGGAATTCACCGTCATCTTCCTCTGGTCTAACCCGGTGGGGGCGGTCTGAGGTCGGGCAGCTGCACTCCGGCTGCTCGCTCCTTCCTGGTCCCTGCGGGCCGCTGTGCTGACCGGTTGGAGGTAACCAGGAAGACCCGGAGAGGACGTTTACTGTGGTGACTTCTCTCCTGTCAATCAAGCGACACCTTGACGTTCCGCGCGTGCGCGCTGTTGCCACTGGCTGCCCTGAACTCGATCCGTGACGTCATCAACCAATTTGCATATGAGTTCTATAACGTGACGTCATCAACCAATTTGCATGTAAACTGACTTTGCGTGTGGATTTAGTGCTGACTGAACGTTTCTCGAGTGTCTGAAGGACATTTTACAGTAGTGTTATTTTTTTTTTTGTAATTTCTAATTTGTTGTAAAAGTCACAATGCCACCAAAGCCAAAACGCAAGAAGGTTAAAAAGACACTGACAAAAGACAAAAGACCCACTGCGATTGTTAATAATGACAAGTCAACAACAGAAATGTCCAAGGATAAGATGTGGGATTTAGCTATTAAACTCCAAAATGAGCTTGAAAGAAAGGGAAAGGAAATGTCGCAATATCTTCTTGAAATAGACAAGGCACAGGCTCACCTGGAAACCTCCAACGAGAATCTGGAGAAGCAAAGCGCCCAGCTGGAAAACAGGAAGCTTGAGATAGACGAAGAAGTCAAGAAGCACATAGAGGAAAAATCTGTCTGCAATGAGAATATAAAACATGTCATGTCTGAGCACAGCAACGCCATTATAGGGCTAAAGACTGACTTTGCCAAGTCTTCCTCACTGCTTCAGCAACAGCACAGAGAGTCTGAGCAGGAGCTTCGCGGACTGATTCACATCCACCTGGAAGAAGCTAGAGAAAAGCAGGCAATCCAGGCGGACTTGATCAAAAAATTGTTGCTGGAACAGTACATAGAGAGGAAAGCTATGTACACACACTATGACTCCATTCTTAAAGAGATAAAACAAAACGCTGACCACCAGTTTTTTACTATGATGGTGGAAGAGGTTTGGAAGCTGCAGGATCCAATAGACAGCCTACACAAAACACAGATGAGACAAGTGAATTCTCTGATTGAACGTCAGAAAAATCAAATTGATGACCTAGAAATGACTCAAACTCAAAGGGAATTCGAGGTAATGCAAGAGAAAAAGATGCGGATTAAGAAATTAAAGGCCAGGCTTTGTTTTGAGGAACGGAAACTGAACCAGGAGCTTGCAGAAAAAACGAGTCTGCAAGAAAAGCTGAGCAAGCTGGAAAAGAATTGGGACAAGCTGCAAAGGATGTCTGAGATGTGCGGGAGTTACAAGGACAGTTTTCTGGCTTACAAACGTCAGAAGGAGGAGGTCATGAGTGAACACAGAGATTTGACAGTTCAGCAGGAGCTGCTGCGGGCGGCGATTCAGGAGGCGGAGGAGGAACGAGACGCGTTGCAGAGGAAAGAGAAAGAGACCATCTTGGACTTAGAGCAGAGGATCAGTCTGAAGAGAACGCTGCAAGAGAGGAAGTTTGCAGTGTTGGCTGAGACTCTGAAGAAAGAGCAGGCCGAATTGGACGCTGCGCTGTCCGGCAGGGATCCAGAGACACCCTCAAAACTGAAGGAACTCATGGAGGTTAAGGACAAAAGGATCGCCGAACTCCAGGAGGAAATTACTCAGAAGTCTGCGGAGTACAACAAGATCCTTCATGATATCAAGGAGAGCTGGAACGACTCCGGCAAACTGCTGAGACCGGAGCTCAAACCTCCAGTCCAGGTTTCATCTGGGAGAAAAAGCCCACAACGCAAACCATGCCCAAAAACAAGGGCGTCCAAATGTGCTCCCAGCACCAGGACAGCCCAGGCCGCAGCCCAACAACCGAGCCTGCTTTTTGTGCCATTTAAATTTTTTCCAAGTTTGGTGATGATGATGTCATCAGAGACATCACAATCCGTTCCAAGGCTTAAACAGAGCAGCTAAAAGCTAACGATGATGATGATGTCATCAGTGACAGATTTATTTATTTTTTTGTAATTTCTAATTTGTAATGTAAAAGTCACAATGCCACCAAAGCCAAAACACAAGGAGAAGGTTTAAAAGACATCACCCACTGCGATTGTTAAAACTGCCAGGTCAACAACAGAAATGTCCAAGGATAAGCTGTGGGATTTAGCTGTTAAACTACAAAATGAGCTTGAAAGAAAGAAAATGCAAAGGTCGAAATGTCTTCTGGAAGTAGACATTTCTGAGTGTTTCTTAGAATATATGATCTCCATGGCAACAGAGTGTTCAGCTGTGATATCATCAGGCTGGGTCCAGACCAGTATATGGCGCTAAGAGTCCGGTCCGGTCCGGTCCGGTCCGGTCCGGTCCGGTCCGGTCGGTCTGTCCTGCCTGCCTGCCTGCCTCGTCCGTCCGTCCATCCGTCCTAACTGCCTGCCTGCCTCGTCCGTCCATCCGTCCATCCATCCGTCCGTCCATCCCCGTCCGTCCATCCGTCCGTCCTGCCTGCCTCGTCCGTCCGTCCATCCGTCCGTCCNTTTCAAAATCTGGTTTCTTGCACAATTTATTTCGTGTCAGTACTTTCGGAAAAAAGGGAACCCTTGAAAACTTTATTAAAAAGATTTGGAAAAACAACACCAGTCGGCTTGCATATTGATGTCGGCGTGATTATACTATGCTTTTTAATGGGAAATGAGCGAGTTTACTAAATGTATATATTTGCAAAACCGTATGGAACAAAAAAAGAAACCTCAACGCAAAAGAGCGCATGAGAGCCTCTATATTTTTTGTGGTGTGTTAGATTAATAWACTTGAAATAATGGACAAAACTACACTTAAATGTAAATATACTCACCCAAAAATATTGATYAAATTGACACGTTGGTGTCAGACCTCTAAACAATTCGTCAACCAAAAGACTACGTTTCCCAGAGTTCTGTTCGAGCAATGCGCCAAACAACTACTGGCTCGAGCAGCGGCTCTTCAATGACTCGCGCGTGCGAGTCGGCTGCAGAAGGATCAGCTGGRCGGGGTGTCCACTGCCGCATTACTGAACAGGTGAGCTACAGTCTKCAGACTCTAGTTTATTTTCATTCATGTACTAAATAATGAGTCATTCACGTTTTCTCTGGTTTATAGTGACGACGTGCTGTTTTTAAGACTATTAAACATTCATTGCTCTTATTTGTCCTCATTATAAATGCTTAAACATATTTGCATAGGGCTCCTGCGTTCAGCAGGATGATAAATACGACCCATCTGCTGCACATTCATACTTTTCCTCGATGCTTATTTGTCTGTAGCCCAAATCCAAACATAGACGAGAAAATTGTTGCTTAGTCACTCTAATGGCAGGATTTAAAGTTATTTTTCTGCTGTGTCGTTTCGTAATTTGCTACCTTGAAAACCTGATAAAATAATTTAAAAGCTATGAGTTTTAGGAAAAGATTCAAGCTTTTTTAAAATATTTTTTTTTATTTCATCAGTCTTTAAGTAGAAAATTTTACTACAATTCAGGCAATCTGTTCTTTAAAGAGTTGAACTTTTCCTCAGATTTGCAGCACAGTTTTAGACAGACTTCAATGATAAACACTGCACCATGCTAAGAACATGATTTGAATCTTTGTAAAAAATGATTTTAATGCTCTTTATCACAGGTTTCTCGTTTGAGCATCCCCCTCTCCTCCCCCTGACATAAAGCAGATTATTGATTTGCAAATATTGGTGTAAATAAATTGATCAACTGCAGGTTTGGTGCAAACCTCATCACCTGTTTCTCATTATCCCAGGTGCTTTTGTAGGGCAGTCAAACAAGGCATTGTGCTGTTTTTGAAAGCTTGTAGTCTCTGTTTTTAATAGGTCTTTAAATGCATCGTTAAAACAGATAGTCCTGACTAAGCTATGGTGGGCGATTTTCCTCCTGCCATGTACATGTAAACTGCAACAGGGTGCTCAAGAAACACCAAATTGTTGTTTTAACGTCYTGAGGCTTACAAGTTTTTGTTCGTTATGACGTCCTATTAGTCATGGCATTGATGGACAAAATAAATGTAGGGTTTCAAATGTTCCAAACCACACATTGTCGTGTTTGTGGCAGAGACCAGATGTAATGTGGGACGTTGCATGATTGTCCGAGGAAAAACCTAAATGAGCAACGAATGACAGCTTTCACTTTCCTCTGTTACCGTTCATTATGCGAAAAGAAAACAGACATTTCAAGCTTGAGTTTCTGGTTTGGGATTTTGTTTGTAGTTAATTACAGCCCTGTTTAAACGGTTTTCCATAGTTAACTGTCTAAGAAAAAGTAACTGACTGGAAACATGTTTTGGATCACCAGGCTGTGTTCAAAATGATTTGCAAGTCATATGTCTTTATTTAGAGAGAATCCGATGGCAAAACAGACTGAAATTAATTTATGGAGATGTTAATTTTCTTATTTATTAATAAAAAATATCCTTTCCCCTGTGCTTTATATACTGTAGTACTAACATGTTAATAAATACATTTAATGATGGTTAATTTTAACCATTTTGCTCAGTTTATGGTTTTGTTTTGTACTGATGGTGTTACTCATCGTGTCCTCCAGATTTCTCTTCCATCGCCTCATTATCCAAGCAGTTCCTGTCATTGGTGTGCTATTTATAGCATCTGGTTATGTGGAGAGTACACATGTCCAGTTGTTCAGCGATGGAATGGCGTTTCTTGTTAGACAGAAAARAATATCCTTGGATCTCCTTGACTGCTCCGCTCAGTGAGAAGCATTCCGATGTGTGTCTGAATATGTGATGCTGCAAAGGGAACTCAAGGTCCCGTCCCATGTCAGGCTCACAGAAATATCTCCTACCTCTGCTGGTGTCCTAGAAATAACTCGTGTTGGTGGCGCTGCTGGAGAGTGACGACAGGAAAAATGAACACTTTGACTCTCTTGGTTATCTGTTCCTGAACTGAGGCAGGGTGGAGGTGAGGTAATCACATTTGGAGTGACCCCATCCAGCTGTGCTCAGAATGGCTAAAAATAAATGTGCTACAGAGGGACGTTCAAAAATATCAAATTATTTTTAATTAGAAAACACATTGTAATGACTTCCTGACCTAATTTATTTATCAATCTCAGACTCYCATTGATCACAGACTGTCCAGACCTTCTGTTTCTCCATTGAACTGGAAAGAAATGCTTTTAAGAGGAACTCAATATGACTTGCATGGCTGATTAGATTACCATTGTAATGAACTAAACTGATGTAAGACTCTGTCTTTTGTTTTGGAATATTAGAGTAAATTTTTCCTCCCGTATGGTGCACCATTTACATCACTGCTTGTTATTAACTGCGGTGATGTAAAGTGTCTGGAATCGGCTGCGGGTTTTAAAACCCGCAGTCAATCCTGCAGCTTCCTGTTTGAATCCAAGCACAGTGCTTGGAGTGCAACAATTGTTGACTGATGCATTTGAAGAGTTTCAAAGTTGTTTTTCTTTTCATGCTAATGCAGTATTTTAGGGATGCACCAATATGAAAATTTCAGCGGATTTTTGATATAATTATTACTGTTATGGCCAATAACCAATATTTACCAATATTACACAAACACAAATTATTTATATACACTCACCGGACACTTATAGGTACACCTTGCTAGTACCTTTGCCTTCAGAACTGCCTTAATCCTTCGTGGCACAGATTCAACAGGGTACTGTAAACATCCCCCAGAGTCTGGTCCATATTGATAGCATCACACAGTTGCCGCAGATTTGTCGGCTGCACATCCATGATGCAAATCTCTTGTTTCACCACATCCCAAAGATGCTCTATTAGACTGAGATCTGGTGACTGTAGAGGCCATTCCAGTTCAGTGAACTCATTGTCATGTTCAAGAAACCAGTCTGAGATGATTCCAGCTTTATGACATGGAGCTGGAAGTAGCCATCAGAAGATGGTACACTGTGGTCATAAAGGGATGAACATGGTCAGCAACAATACTCAGGTAGGCTGTGGCGTTGCAACGATGCTCAGTTGGTACTAATGGGACCAAAGTGTGCCAGGAAAATATCCCCCACACCATAGCACCACCAGCAGCCTGAACCGTTGATACAAGGCAGGATGGATCCATGCTTTCATCTTGCTGATGCCCAATTCTGAACTTATCATCTGAATGTTGCAGCAGAAATAAAGACTCATTAGACCAGGCAACATTTTCCAGTCTTTTATTGTCCAGTTTTGGTGAGCCTGTGTGAATTCTTAGATGACAGGAGTGGCACCCGGTGTGGTTTTCTGCTGCTGTAGCCCATCTGCCTTAAGGTTTGATGTGTTGTGCTTTCAAAGATGAGTTATTGTTGCCATTCTATCAGCTCAAACCAGTCTGGCCATTCTCCTCTGACCTCTGGCTTTAACAAGACATTTCCGCCCACAGGACTGCCGCTCACTGGATGTTTTTTCTTTTTCGGACCATTCTCTGTAAACCCTAGAGATGGTTGTGCGTGAAAATCCCAGTAGATCAGCAGTTTCTGAAATACTCAGACCAGCCTGTCTGGCAGCTGTCTGTTATGTTCAAAGTCACTTAAACCACCTTTCTTCCTCATTCTGATGCTCAGTTTGAACTGCAGCAGATTTGACCATGTCTACATGCCTAAATGCATTGAGTTGCTGCCATGTGATTGGCTGATTCAACATTTGCGTTCATGAGCAGTTGGACAGGTGTACCTAATAAAGTAGCCAGTGAGTGTACAAATATGCACAAATACATATGTCTTTTTTGATAATCTGAAAACAACCAGACTCTTGACGTTCTTTCTACCACAGTTATTCCTGGATGCACAGCGTCATTGACACTATCATGATCAAACAGATACCACAGAGACCAACGATTTCCCCTCCACAAACAGAAACACAAAGCTAAAAAAATGGAAAATCAATATCGGACATAAATATCGGCCCAGTTTTACTTATCGGACCAATACTGATATTCTAAAAAAATGACCAATT